TGTGTTATTGAACGGTTTCTTGGTTTGGTGCATGTTAGTGATACGGCTGCAACTTCACTCGAGCAAGGTATTTGCTCTTTGTTCTCTACTTATGGCCTGAGTATTTCTAGTTTAAGAGGACAATGTTATGATGGAGCGAGCAATATGAAAGGTGAGTTCAATGGACTAAAAAGTTTGATATTAAAGAAAAATTCTAGTGCATACTATGTCCATTGTTTTGCTCACCAACTCCAACTCACACTCGTTTCTGTTGCTAAAAAGCATACAAGTGTCAGTTCTTTTTTCAATACTGTTACTCGTTTAACTAATATTGTTGGAGGTTCTTGTAAGCGTAGAGATTTGCTTAGAGAAAAGCAAAAGGAGAAAGTAATTGAGGGGATTGCAAGCAATGAGATTGAGACGGGAAAAGGATTAAATCAGGAGATGACTTTGAAGCGACCGGGAGACACTCGATGGAGTTCACATTATGGTACTCTCATAAACTTGGTGCATTTATTTTCATCTATTATTGATGTTCTTGAGTATATTGGTGAAAGAGGAAATGATGATTCACAAAGGGCTGAAGCCATTGATCTGTTAGAGATTGTGAATATGTTCGACTTCATCTTTACTTTACATTTTATGATGAAAATTTTGGGAGTCACACATGAGTTGTCTCAAGTTCTTCAAAGAAGGGATCAAGATATTGTTAATGCGATGAAACTTGTTAAAGTCGCTAAAGCTCGTATGCAAGCCATCAGGGATAATGGTTGGGATGATTTACTGGCTGAAGTTTCTAAGTTTTGTGGCAAATATGACATAGTTATATCGGATATGGAAGGTGTGTATGCAACTCGAGGAAGACCGAGGCACAACGTTGAAAAGATGACCAATCTTCACCATTATCGAGTTGAGTTGTTTTATTCCGTGATTGATATGATAGCTCAAGAGCTTAATAATCGGTTTGATGAAGTGAACACGGAGCTACTCTTGTCAATGGTGTGCTTTGATCCGAGAGACTCATTTTGTGCATTTGATAAAGGGAAATTGCTCCGTCTAGCAGAATTTTATCCATCAGAGTTTTCTACAGTTGCTTTACATGAACTTGAAAATCAGCTCGAGAATTTCATTTTTGATATGCGCTTAGATAAAGACTTCTCGAATGTAGCCAATATTGGAGATCTTGCTCAAAAGATGGTGTCTAGAAGAAAACATGATGTTTTTCCATTGGTTTACTTGTTGATTAAGTTGTTATTGATTTTACCCGTTGCCACTGCTACAGTGGAAAGAGCTTTTTCGGCAATGAAAATCATCAAAAGTGCACTACGCAACCGAATGGGTGATGAGCTTTTGAATGATTGTTTAGTGGCATACATCGAGAAAGATATATTTCGAAATGTTAGCAATGAGGCTATCATGCAACGATTTCAAAACATGAAAAATAGGAGAGAAATGTTGTGATCTCTCAATATTATTGTAAGTTATTTTCTTGACTTGAGTACTCGGATATGTGTACTATGTTTATTTAGTAGGTGCTTGTCTAATTTATTTATTTTTACAATTGACGTTTTTTTAATTATTATTTGGGCCCACCTCGATAAAATTCCTAGATCCGTCACTGTATCTGTTGTTTCACGTGAATTGAGATACGGAGAATTATTGAAAGAATGGGAGAAGGGAGAAAGGAAATGTTGTTAACAATTTGAGGTGGCCAATTTGAATTCATATCTCATGCAACTTTTAAGGATTCTGGTATTAGTCATGCAATGTGGTCCCTCATCTCATGCAACTTTTAAGGAATCTGTTATTAGTCATGCAAGGGATTCTGTTATTAGTCCAATTCTAAGAATTTCTCTCCTTGTACCTATAAATCCTCTCAGAATATCAAACTAAATCAATTCGAAAGAAGTAAACACAGTATCTTCAACCTAAATCAATTCGAAAGAACTAAACACATCCTACCTATCAAATCAAATCATGAATTTCTTGTTGTTTGTCACTGTCCGTCCTCCTCCTGGAGGCAGTCTCCGGCGCCGCACTTGCGAGCTCGAGGGAGACCAAGCAAGCAGCGGGACCCTCAAATACAAAATTGCCGCTCTCGCAGCCGGTGGTGGGGAAGACGGTGGATGCCTTGAACCCCGTCGAAAGGATCACACCTGCGGCGAATGCTTTCAACATGAAGAAGAAGCTCTTCTCCAGGCTCAAGGCATCCACCTTCTTCCCCACCACCGGGAGGCAGACGCCGGCAGCGCCAGTGGCAAGGATGGCTCCGAGAGCGGCAATTTTGTATTTGAGAAGGGTCCCGCCGCTTGTCGCTTTCTTGTTCTCCCTCCAGCTCGCAAGTGCAGCCGCCGGAGACTGCCGCCGGGAGGAGGACGGCCAGTGACAATATTAACAACAAGAAATTCATTATTTGGTTGAAGGAGATTTTGATTTTGATAGATAGGTTGAAAGAGAATTTGATAGATAGGTAGAAGAGAATTTGATAGATAGGCGATATTCAGAATCGTAGAGAAGGAGAATTTACCGACTGATCCGATGAGATGAAGGTAGAAAGATGAGGTTGGCCTTTGCCTGGCACTGGAACCGGAGATATATAGGTACAAGGAGAGCTATTCAACCAACCCTTTTAAGATAATGCAAGATGTTGTAATATGGTGTGGAAAACTTATTTGTGATCTTTAAAAAAAAAAAAATACTCTTTTGAGCATTAGAACAAACACCAGAAGCACATTCTGTATAACCAACCCTCCATTACAAATGCTCAGTCAATCAAACCATAATACACATTATACACCAAGCTCTGGACTTGAATCCTTTTGCCATTACAAAAATCACACCACAAATACCTAATCTTTAAATGGAAGTTTAATCTTTAATCCATATAAAATTGAAATTTCTCCAGCATCACTTGAACTCATCGCCCGTCATACACTCCTGTCGAGACACACCCACCCTTCCGAAACACTCGCCCGAGCCCTGTCCCTCATCTCCCCCACCCTTCCGAAACACTCGCCCGAGCCCTGTCCCTCATCTCCTCCACCCTTCTCCTCACTGGACTCGCTCTCGATGTTTGACCTGCGGGCTCGGAGGAAGTCGGAGATATTTGACTTTTGGCTGAGGATGAAGTATCCGCGGGTTTTGGAGATCCACTAGGGAGTCGGGTCGGTTGGAGGTAGCTGGAAGAAATGGAGGAGCTGCGTAGGACCCGCTCGATCGAATCGGGGATCTTCATTAGGAGCAAGAGAAGTCCAGTTTATAATTGTTGTTTTTTGACTCTATTT